GAAGGCCCTCTATGGGCTGAAGTAGGCCCCTATGCAATGGTACATGAAGCTGCGCGAAGTGTTGGAGGAGATTGGCTTCACTCCCTCAACGACCGATCACTCCTTGTTCATGCTTGGCGAGGGGGAGCAGAGGAGCTTCATGGTGGTTTATGTGGATCACATTTTCATCTTCTCACCCTCTTCTGACCTTGTGAACGATGTGATGCTGAAGCTGCAAGACAAGTTCAAGTGCAAGTCCCTTGGTGACGTCAACTTCTACCTCGCACTTCACATCGAGCGTGACATGGAGAAGTGGTGCATGTGGGTGCACCAACAGAAGTATCAGGAGGCCTTGGCAGCCAAATTTGGGCAGAGTGAAGGCCATGTGGCTACTCCCTTTCCTTCTGGGTTCAAGTGTGTGAAGGGACAAGAGGAGGAGAGCGTTGGTGAAGAGGAGAGGCGCCGTTTTTCACTCATTGGTGGGCAGCCTCATGTATGCAGCGGTAAACACCCGACCGGACGTCGCGTTTGCTATCGGACAGCTAGCTAGGGTTTTGCAATGCCCTAATGAGGAGCAGGTAGCAGCTGGAATGAGGATGGCTAAGTACCTTGGCCAAACACCGACCGTTGGGCTGCAATACTCGGCGACACCGCAAAGGCGGCAAAAGGGCGCAGATGGTGTAGAACCCGGGCGTTTGTTCCTCACCGCCTACTCGGATGCTTCATTTGCATCGGAACCAGAGGACATGACAAGTGTGGGAGGCTTCATATGCTGTGTTGGTGGAGGCCCAACTGCTTGAGAGAGCATAAAGTAGGTGGATCAAGCATTGAGCTCGGTGGAATCCGAGTAGATGGCACTCTTCCGTGCCGTACGGGAGATTGTGTGGCAGCGGCGTTTGTTGGCTGAATTGGGGGAGGAGCAGCAAGGATCTACTCCTCTCTATTGTGACAGCCAGTGAGCCATTGCTCTAGCTAAGACCCCTGTGTTGCATGGCCTCACAAAGCACATGAGGGTGAAGTGGCACTTGACAAGGAGCATGGTGGCCGCGGGTGAGGTTGAGCTGCGATATGTGAAGACGACGGGGCACCTGGCTGACATGATGACCAAGAGGCTGTTGGAGCAGCAGCGTTGGAAGTGTTGCAAGCTGGCTGGGATGGCTCTGAACTAAGAGCAACAGATCCTAAGGCCAACAATCCGAGGGGGAGTTTGTTGGTGCAACCCTATGGTTTGCACTCGGCTTGTCCGTGTGCGTGCATGCGTGTGTGCATGGAATGGAATGAGGGCATGAAATAATACATACATATATATCATGCTTATAATAGTGTGTGTATGATGGGTCATGATGTCGAGTTTGTGTGTCGATTCAATAGCGAGTTATCGCTAGCCGCGTGTTAATGCAGTAATTTGTGTGTCGCGCGCAGTTTTCTATTTTGTCGTGTGTCTCGTGCGCGGTTTCTATTTTGTCCTGTGTCGAACGTTCGGCGTGTCGTAGGTGTTTGCAGAAGACCCATTAAGAACTCAAGGATGAGTTTTGTGATGAAGAATCAGAGCCTTGGTTCAAATGGGTACACCTCTAGATATTGAAGATAATTACATTACAATGTGTAGTGTAACATTTCTGTTGGTGTAGACCCTTGTGCAGGGTAGCTTCGAGACCCTTCGTGGTTGGGGACAGTGTGGCACTGTTCCACATCATTGTACCTCGGCTCTTGGGGTTTGTAGGAGCTGGGAGTCCTTCCCAACTCGTAACTCTTCCTAACTCTTCCCATCTTGTGTTCTAAGACTATGTTGCTGCCATCGTGTCGTTCCTTCAAACCTACGCTGTGTCGTCAATTCTTGATGAAATCTTTCGATCTAAGTTGAATCAAGTTATCTGGCCAGATCGCTATGAACCTTTAATGCCGTTGTGCAGAAATAACAGAGGTCACTCCCATGGAGGACACGGGAGCCTCAAGTCGGCGGCCTCGCCCTGCGTCACTCCTTGGCTTCGTGTCCATCCTGCATTTTCCTCATCGTTCTTCTCTGCGGCCGGTTGTTGTGGAGCCTAGAGGTGTTCCTGCGGGAGATACTGGAGGCCTCGGGGGTGTACGTGGTGCAGATGCTGGATCTGGGGGTGCTGGAGGTTGAGGCACTGGCACTATGGCGCCTACACCGCGCATTGTACGATTCGTGACCCGCGAGCAGCGTCTCCTCCGGCTGGAGAGTAAGGAGCGTGAGCTGTTTGAGAGGGCACAGCAACAACAGCAGCCGCAGCAGGAGCAGGAGTAGTCTTAGTCGCAGCAGCTAAGGGATCAATGGAGGAGCCATAGCGGAAGGTGCAGTTGCAGACATAGCAGGAGAGTGTAGAGGAGGAGTCCCGCCCGGAGTGGGTAGAGCAGGAGTCCCGGTTGCAGCAGGAGAGGGTGGAGCAGGAGTCCCGCCCGCAGTAGCAGGTGCAGTTGCAGACACAGAGGAGAGAGTAGAGGAGGAGTCACGGCCGCAGCAGGAGAGGGTCGCGCAAGAGTCCTGGTCGCAACAGCGGGTGCTGCTGGAGCCGCAGCAGGAGAGGGCAGGGGAGGAGCCACAAGAGCAGCAACAAGGACAGGTACCGTAGCAGCAGATGCCAGAGGAGGTGGAGCAGCAATGACTGTGACTGCGCGACCTGCCCGACCCAGCGCCTGCAGGCTTGGCTCGTGGTCTAGTCCCTTTCGTCGTCCCAGTGGACTCGTTGTTCTCCCCGTCAATCTCGTTACCGTGCAGACGACCCGTTTCACCTTCGTTTCTGCTCTTGTGTTCCACCTCCTCCAGTCCTTCCACAACCTCTTGAGTCGTCCCTCACTGTGCTTCACAACCTATTGTTCGACTAGCTCTGTGCCTCCCGTCCTGTCGTCTCCCGTGTTTTTTCCGTGCTGGTCACTCACCCGACCGCACCCCTGTCGTATGTCTCAGCTCTTGCTACCACTTTTGCTGGCTTTGCCTCTTCCCACCGCCTTGACTACGCCGCTCACTTTGTTAGTGGCCCTGCTCGTTCTCCATCCTCTAGCGGTGCTCGTGTCTTTTCCCTGGAGGTCCTAGAGGACAGGCAGTTTGAGCTTGGTTTCCCTGCGACTGCTGTTCCTCATCTCTGTGCCATGCTGCTTGCCCCTGAGGGGGATCCAGACGCTCTTGACATCCAGATTCCTCGCACTCACACTGAGGCGATCCCGGGACCTTGGGCCTCATACTAGATAGCAGCTGAGGAGGTAGAGATGGCATCTTATAGGTCCACAGGCACTTACGTTGATGCAGTCCTACCACCTGGGACGAACGTCGTTAGTGGCCGGTTGCTCTACAAGGTGAAGCGACTTCGTGGATCACCACCAGTGTTCAATGTGCCCTATGTGGCGAGAGGCTTCATTCAGCGAGAGGGGGTGGACTTCTTCCTGACTTTCGCTCCTAACCCAAAGATGAGTACTCTTCGCGTGTTGCTGCATATTGCAGCCCAGCGCGACTACGAGTTGCACTCCTTGGACTTCTCCTGTGCGTTCCTTCAGGGGAGCCTGCACGAGCAGATTTGGCTGCGTCGCCCGCCTGGCTTCACTGGCTCTTTCCCACCTAGGACCAAGTGGCAGCTGCGTCGACCAGTCTACGGCCTGCGTCAGGCTCCACATGAGTGGCGCAACACACTTCGCTCAACCCCTTGCAGTGCTTGACTTCTTTCCGTCGTCTCCCGACCCATCACTGTGTTAGAGATTAAGGACATAGTCCGTAACGATTAGGGGCCAAAATATCTCAAAATTGTCAACTACAATTCTGGACAGAAACGTCGTCACAAGAAACGCCGTCGACGAAAAACGCACTATTGGAATTATCTATAACCCGACTAGGTTGTAGCCCCGATTTGATCGTATCAAAAGGTGGTGTATAACTCGAGTTATGAAATTTGGTGCACTAGGGGATATGGTGCCATAGAAACTAAACTCTATCACAATTATCTCACAAGTACCACAAGGAGGGAAATTTCCCCTCTCTGCATTATACTCAATAACAGGCCTCTCACGTTGGCGAAGTACTACAGCGCATAGCACTGCTACGAGCAGCGTGATTCCCGCTAGGCAGCAGCGTGATTCCTGCTAGGCAGCAACGTGATTCCCGCTAGGCAGCCGCGTGATTCCCGCTAGGCAGCAGCGTGATTCCCGCTAGGCAGCAGCGTGATTTCCGCTAGGCAGCAGCGTGATTCCCGCTAGGCAGCAGCGTGATTCCCGTTAGGCAGCAGCATGATTCCCGCTAGGCAGCAACGTGATTTTTTCTAGTAGCAGCGCGATCTCGCCACGTAGCCCGTGACTCAGCCCCCTAACCCGCGATTCAGCCGCCCAGCCCGCGATCTAGCTGCCCAGCCCGCATTTTAGCTGCTCCGCCCGCGATTTAGCCGCTCTGCCCGCGATCTAGCTGCAAAGCCGTGATTTTGGTGACCAACCGGCGATTTAGCTTCTTAGCCCACGAACTTCAGATTGCCGCGTGCGGCTAGGCAGTGGAATCCGCGCCGTAACAGTGAAACCCGCACCGCAGCAGCGACCTTTGCGTCGTAGCAGCGAAATCCGCGCAATGGCAGCGAAATCCGCGCTCTAACAGCGACATCCGCGCCTAAGCAGCAAAATCCACGCTGTAGCAACGACATCTATGCTGTAGCAGCAAAATCCGCTTCGCGGCAACGAAATCCATGCCGTAGCAGCGAAACCCATGCCGAAGAAGCAAAATCCGCGCCATAGCAGCGAAATCTGTGCCGTAGCAGTAAAGCCCACATTGTAACAGTGAAATCCATGCTGAAGCAACTAAATTCGCACCGCGACGGAGGGAGCCGCGCCCAGGGAGCTATATTCGCGCGTGGGAGCGCTCTCACAGCGAGGCCCGTGCCTAGGCAGCGACGACCGCATGTAGGGAGGACCAAAAAGCGAGATTTGTTCCTAGGTAACAACATCTGCAGGTAGGAGCGTCCCACGTATAGGGGAGTCTTCGTGCGCCAGCGACGTTCACCATCTTCAACTCACCCGGACCGCGAACCTTACATTGAAGGTGGGAGGCGCCCCTCCAGCTCAACTTACACCATGAACAACGACCCAGACCCTCCAGACCGGGGGAGAAAGATCTGCGCGAAGATTGGTCACAAGAGACCCAGAGAGGCAGCGTTGTGTATGCAATACCCACAACTCTGTCGCCTCCATTGTGAGGATGAACTCTCCCTTTTCGGTAGACCCAGCAAGCGATAAAGGCTTGGACCCCTCTCAATAGAGGGGGGGGTGGAGGAACCACCCAAAGACACTCCCGGCGGCTTTGTATGCGGCAGCGACATTATCTCCAACCGGGACCTTGACACGAGAGAAGAGGGCGCGTGCGGTCATGGGGTGCACAGGCAAAGCATCGGTGAAGACACGGCGATGGCGGCATGGGAGGCACACTGCCGACGACTGCAGGAGTCTCACAATAGGCAGCAGACGGCCGTGGATAATCCCTTGGCACGCCCAACCTTCCCAGCCCTGCGCGGGCCTCGCCCGGCCCAAAGGCAGAAACAAAGACGGAGAGCTCGGCCGGAAGTGCAGCAGTGGAGTCCAGTCGGCACCCAGTCCTCGTGGCAGGAGGGGGGGCAGCAGAACTGGCTGTTGGGGGAGGTCCGGAAGTCACAAGCAAGGGGGCAGCAGGAACTGCTGGCAGGAGGGCAGCAGGTGCTGCCGGTGGGAGGGCAGCAGGAGCTGCTGGCGAGAGGGCAGCAGGAACCGCGGGCAAGTGGGCAGCAGGTGCGACCGGCAGGAGAGCAGCAGGTACTGCCGGCGGGAGGGCAGCAGGAGCTGCCGGCGAGAGGGGAGCATGAGCTGCCGGCAAGAGGGCAGCAAGAGCCGCAGGCAAGAGGGTGGCAGGTGCGGCCGGCAGGCGAGCAGCAGGTACTGCAGACGGGAGAGCAGCATGAGTGGCCAGCGGGATTGGAGCAAGAGCTGGTGGTGGGAGGGTAGCAGGAGCTGCGGGCAGGAGGGCAGCGAGAGCTGCCGACGGGAGGGCAGCAGGAGCTGCCGGCGAGAGGGCAGCAGGAGGTGCCGGCGAGAGGGCAGCAGGAGCTGCCGGCGGGAGGGCAGCAGGAGCTACCGGCGGGAGGGCAGCAGGAGCTGCCGACGGGAGGGCAGCAGGAGCTGCCGGCGGGAGGGCAGCAGGAGCTACCGGCGGGAGAACAGCAAGTGGTAGAAGTGGAGATGGTCAAGCTACAGCCAGAGGTGCAGCGGGACCAATTGGGGAATCGGGCCCGGCCACAGGCAGAAGGGCAGTAGGAGCTGCCCGGGGGTGAGCAGCAAGAGCTGCCAAGGGAAGGGCAGCAGGGGCTGCTGGCAAGGGAGCAGCAAGCAAGGAAGCAGCAAGTGGTAGAAGTGGAGATGGCCGAGCTACAGCCATAGGTGCAGCAGGAGCAGCCCGGGGGAGAGCAGCAAGAGCTGCCAAGGGAAGAGCAGCAGGAGCCGCCGGGGGAGGGGCAGCTACCGGCAAGGGAGCAGCAAGCAGTGGACGTGGAGATGGCCGAGCTACAGCCAGAGGTGCAGCGGGACCAATCGGAGAATCAGGCCCGGCTGCAGGTAGGAGGGCAGCAGGAGATGCTGGGAGAAGAGCGGCAGGAGCTGTCACAGGAGGGCAGCAGGAGCTGTCGGCGGGAGGGCAGCAGGAGCTGTCGGTGGAGGGCAGCAGGAGCTGCCGGGGGGGGGGGGGGGGGAGGGGGGAGTGACCGGATCTGCCGGCGCGGGGGCAGCTGGAGGTCGCTAGTCCAGACGCTACAAGCCAAGCGAAGAGAACCCAGGCACGGGGTCCAGGTGGGAGATGACACGCACGTAAGTCGCAAGGGCGGACTGGAAGCGGTGCTGCCGCACAGCAGGCGGAGGGGCAGCCATGGGCGATTGAGACACTCCAGGGAGCTGAGCGGGCAGGGGGGCAGCCGAGGGTGCTCGGAGCACCCCAGGGAGAGCAGCAGGCAGGAGGGCAGCCGAGGGTGCCCGGAGCACCGCAGGGAGTGCAGTAGGCAGGGGGGAAGCCAAGGGTGCCCGGAGCACCCCAGGGAGAGCAGCAGCCAGGGGGGCAGCCGGGGGTGACCGGAGCATCCCAAGGAGAGCAGCAAGCAAGGGGGCAGCCGGGGGTGACCGGGGAACCCCAGGGAGCGCAGCAGACACGGGGGCAGCCGAGGGTGCCCGGCACACCCAAGGGAGAGCAGCAGGCAGGGGGGCAGACGGAGCACCTCAGGGAGTGGAGCAGCCAGGGGGCAGCCGGGGGTGACCGGAGCACCCCAGGGTGAGCAGCACCCAAGGGGGCAGCCGGGGGTGACCCAAGCACCCCAAGGAGAGCAGCAGTCAGGGGGGCAGTCGGGGGTGACCGGAGCACCCCAGGGAGAGTAGCAGGCCCGGGCAATCGATGGACGACCAGGAGCAGCAATTGGAGGAGTGGAGCCCACTTTTGGAGTTTGATACCCCCATGGCGATTGGGAGGAGTCAGAGGCGGACGAAGCGTTTTCCGTGCGACACGTGATTCCACACTTTCGCTACGTGAGGGGCTGTTGCGAACCACATGAGGGTATGCCGGGCGGCTGAGGTGGAGAGGCGTGCGTAGGCTCTCGGCTTGATCCCGTGTCCGGTGGAGACCGACATGCAGAAGTGACCGATGCCGCGGGAATTTGGGAACGAGGTGTGGGTCGGAGTTACGTCATGGGAATGGGAAACATTTTTCTAGTGTGGAGGCGGTTGGAGGGAGGACATTGCGCGGGATCCCACAGCGGGCCCAGTCGGGGGTCTTAGATGCGCTCTGTTGCATCTTAAAGCGTTTGAAGAGCCGACCGAGAGATAAATCCGCTACCCTTCTACTCTTGGCGCTTCCGCACCTCATCCTAGCCGTGCCTCCCAAGCCAGGCATAGGTCAAAAGGCGCTGATCACAGAGCGGTTGGGTGCGTTCTAAAAGGGGAGGTGGCGGGAGCTGTTCGACTCTGCCATGGTGGCAGTGCGGCCAGCAGTTTGCCCACTTGCCTACACTTGCTCTGACCAGGACCCAGATGCCATCCGCCTGTCACGGTGCCAATCTTGGTGCAAAATGGGGGAGTGGGGCCGCGGATTGGCTTGCCTTACGGCAAGGGAGTTGGCTCAACCGTCTGAGGCCATGGTGCAATCGCTGCGAGAGAAGCACCCTGCTACCACTAGCGAGGTACCTCAGTGGGTCCGCGATTTCACCGTCGATGCTCCTCAGGGGCCTTCACTCGCGACCAACATCCTGGCAAGAGCTATCCCGCTCAAGCTTCAGTAGCAGGGCCATCAGGGTGGGTCGCAGAGCATCTGCGCGACACCTTCCTCACCGAACCTTCCTGCCTTTCCCACCTGTTGGAACTGTTCAACCAATGGGTGGCGGGACAGGACCCCGAGCGGGCTCGGCCGTGGCTCGCCGCATCCAACCTAGTTGGGCTTTCCAAGCCTAACAGCGACGTCCGGCCGGTGGCAATCGGGGAGGTGCTTCCCCGTATCCTTGCCCAAGCTCTCTGCATCTCGCCCCGCCCTGCGATGGCTTCCTACTTCCTGCCGTGCAACCAGCTCGGAGCGAGCACTAGGGTCGGGGCAGGGATTCTCACTCATTCTTTCCGATAGCGCTGGCCACTCATCCCGATTGGTGTGCGCTACAGATAGACGTCACAAATGCCTTCAATTCATTTCACCGTCATGCGATGTTTGATGGGCTGCGGGAGTCGAATTTCTCAGGGATGATCCCATTCTTGCGGGTTTTCTATGGGACACCTAGCGACCTGTACCTCCAAGCGGGCCCTTTCATACAGAGCCTCAAGTCGGCATGGGGATTGAGGCAAGAGGACCCGCTCAGTCCTTTTTTTTTCGCGTTCACGCAGCAGCAGGTGATGGAGCCGGTTAATAGGGAATTCGGGGACCTACTTTTTTCTCAGCTATTTTGGGGCCAGTGACAAGGATTCTGGAGGCTTTTGGGGTGCCATGGGAGCAGTTGGAGTGGCTGGGGCTAGAGGTGTAGGCGCACAAGTGTCATTTTTAGGAGCGCGAGGGCAAGGATGTGGAGGGGGCACTGCCATTGGGGATGCAGCGGGTGGAGGAGGGTCTTACTGTGGCTGCGTGCCTATTGAGGAGGAGGATTGGGAGGTGGTCTGGCTACGGGAGCAGCTTTGACAGTTGCAGGCGCCATTGCCATGGCTCCCCTTGCTCGACCAACCCCAGATGCCTTCATACCTCCTCGCCATTGCAGTTTCGGCGTGGCCAATGTACCTTGCCCGGACTATGCCGCCGTGTCTGGAGGTGGTTGAGGCTTTTAGGAATTGGGATAGCTGTCTGGAGGATTGCTTTGAGCAGCTTTTCCCACCTGTTACTTAGGAGCAGGACCTCAACTCGTCTAGGCACGCACGCATGCAGCTGCGTCTCCCTGTACGACTCACAGGGTTTGGGATCCGGGCGGCGGCCTCTATGAGCCCACTGTCCCATGTTTGTGGGTGGGCGCAGGCCGCGCGTGACATTGCACAGTTAGTGGTGGCCGTCGAGGAGGCGATGTTTGCAGAGTACCTCACCACTTTGACAGGGGCAGAGTTTCTTCACCCGTGGTTTGCCAAGGCTCTTGAGCAGCTGCCAGCGACTATCCGCGAGGAGATGCCAGGTTTACCTTTGTGCGTAGCAGCCCCTCCTCTTCGGCTTTTCTAGGCGTGGCAACGGCAGTTAGCTGTAGAGGAGCTCCACGCACTCTGTCACTTGGCTCGTAACAATGCTACCCTAGCCCGTTTCACATCCCTTTAGGGCTCGGGGGCGGGTGCATGGGTTTCGGCGGTTTCGGCTCGCTCAGATCTCACATTCACTGTGGCTGAGTGGGGCATTGCTGCTGCTATACGGCTTGGACTCCCAATTCAGCAGTTGCAGGTGGCGGGGAGGTGTGTTTGTGGCACAGCGTATGTTGACCCAGTAGACTAGCATCATGCCCTGAGATGCAAGCACCAGCATGGTCCATTTCGGGTGCATGATGAGGTGAAGTTTGCGGTGGCAAAAATCTCTAAGGCGTCCGGGGGGGGGGGACAATGGAGGATAGTGTGGTGCTGCCGGGGAAGCGGGTTGATGTGGCGGTGCAACAACCTATGGCTGGAGAGGCTCACGCCCTAGAGATCAGCGTCGCGGACCCGCTATCGCTGTCTCCATCTCTGCTAGGATTGTGCGGGTGTTCCAAAGATGTGGTGGCAAGAGAGTGGGAGCATCGCTAAATGAGTGATTACGCGCCTCTGCTTGCACGCAACCGGGGCATGCAGTTCACCCCTCTGAAAGGAGAGACGTGGGGGTGTCTTGGCGGTCGTTTTCGGCGGTGGCTTCGTCAGTAAGGGGATGCGCACGTGGGGTTAGCTGTGTTGCGGGGGGTTTGTCGGGAGGACGAAACTGCGTTTTCGGCTTATCTTTTAGGGTCCCTGAGGCGCTCATCGGGGTGGCGTTACAACGTGCGCAATCCTGTGTCATCTTGCTTCGAGCGGCGTCTTCGATGTGGGGGATCAACGTAGATTTGGTGGACCAGGAGAGGGACGATGTCGAGGTGGAAGGTGGGGCTCTCTGGGTGGAGGCCCCATACATGGTGGATGAACAGTTGTGATTGAGGGGGGGGGGGGGGGGGGGGGGGGGGGGGGGGGGACATGGGGTGCGGGATGGGGTGTCTTGATGGGGTGTCTTGACGGGTGCTTTGATTGGGTATCGTGCACACGGTTTTTTATGTGTGTTGCATTTGTGATTTTTTTACAGTTTTACTTACAAAGAAAGTTAGAGTAGCTAGAAACCAGGTGGGAGAAGATAAGGAGGACGAGAGGGAAGGTCCCCAAGGAGTCCCCGTAGTCACACAATTCACCTTCCTATACGCAACCCAACTTTGACCTTTGTCACTTTCCCAACCCAGTCCATCCACCTTACCCAACTTGGCCACACTTGCCAACCTGGTTGGGCTTCTCCCAACCAATTGGCAGAAAACTACAACAAAGTGACGAATTTCCCAACCCCCAAAAGTTTGTACCCCATATTGAGTCACTCCACAAATTCCCATAGTCGCCACAACCAAATATAAAAAACATACGAACTTCAAATGTTCGTAACTTTCGTGCTCTTGCTCCGATTGAAGCAATCCCTTGGCTCGTCGGAAAGCACTTGAATAGAGGAGTCACTTCACATATCTGCTCAAGAAAAATATCATTCACACACACTCAAAGTATCTAAACCACACCAAACACAAATTATTGCACACGCTCACACCACGCATGCAACGCACGGACATATGATGGGAGGCAGACAGACGTGAATGCAAATGATAGCATCACATAACAAACCCTCCCTTTGGCTGCCAACCATCATCCCACATGGCTCATCTCATGCATGCACAATCAATGCACTCACATTCAACCAAGCTTCATTCATTTCCAGCACTCATCTCAATGAACTTTCGCACATCTCCTTCTTCTCAAACTTGCAACACCCCTTTGCATCCTCTCTCTCACAACACTATCCTCCAAACCATCTCACTGCAGCCCCATAGCAGTAGGCTATTTCATCCTCATCCATCTGCTCAGCCACACTCCCAGCAGGTATCACACTTGGCGTGCCAAGACTCGGATAGGTTAGCTTGGTAGGAGGGTGCATATCCCTCCTAGGACGCTCAAGCGAGTGTGGAGCATGCTGCTGCTGCTGATGTAGCTGCTGCTGCTGCTGATGCAGTTGCTGCTGCTACTGCTCCACCTCAGGTTCTCCTCCATCCTTAGTCACCCCAGAGATCTCCTCCCCCGAATGCCGTTGCACCTCATCAGCCTCAATGATTATTGGTGTAGTAGGAAGCTTCTGCTACTGCTACTTCCAATTGTTGTAGTACAAGGACTCAAGGAACTTCACATGCCTTGACACACTCAGCTGCTGGCTGGTCAAGTCCCATATCAACCAGCCCTTGTGATCCATACCAAGCCCCAAGTGCACACCCCATCTCCCATAAGCCTCCAACTTTCCCCTCTTCTCCTTCAGCACATGAACACCACCATGCAGCCACAGACTCTCAACATCCCATACCCCTTTGTGTAGGGGACCCATTGATTTTCCCCCACATTCGCCACCACCCTGTTCTTCACAAGGGCGACCTGCCGCGGTGCAGTCACCCAAAACGGATCCGGAAGCTCTGCACGCCCAAGGAGAGTGCAAGCACCTTCCTACAGGGTCTGGTTGAACCGCTCAGCCATGCCATTCTGTTGTGGGTTGTCGGGCACTGTGAGCTGATGCTGGATTCTCTTCCGCTTCAGCACCACCTCAAATTCATTGCCAATAAAGTCTCCCCCGTTGTCGGTGCAAATCACCTTCACCTTGTGTCCGCTCTCCCTTTGAGCTCTTGGCATCCACTCCTTAAGAACAACCGCTGCAACCTCCCCCTTGGTCTTGAGAGGGTACACCCACAATGGTCAAGAAGTAGCGGCTGCCCGAGAGA